GGCCCTGCGTGGTCCAGCGCGGCGGCGGGTGGGCGCCAACCCCTGGCGGTTCTTACGCTGCCCGTCACCGTGGCCTCTGAGCACCTGCGGGACGCGCTGCGCCCCTGGCCCTTTGCAGGAGACCGAAGATGAGGAGGCACCGGGGCCTTGTACGGTTCAGAGCCCCTTCTGCCCTTCTTTATTTTTCTTCCCCCCTCCATCTAAATTGCTCACATAAATATTATATATTATCAGAAACACAAGGCCGGTCCAAATAAGTCCCTTGCACGGTTTCCTTTTAACAACCGCGAGGTCTGTCTGCCCTGAGGATATTGTGGAGTAATTCAATATGCAGGAGGCTCCCCCGGTCCTCGCAAAGGCGCCTCGGTTTGCTGACAGCGTTTTGGTAACTTTGGTAAAGCGCAGGCGTTGCCGCAGAGCTGCGCGGGCAGCAGCAGCCACTCTTTCGGAGGGAAGAAAATATAGGCGCTCGCTCTAACATCTAGGTGAAAATCCTTACGGTTGTCCTTCAGTGCGCGCTGTAATTAATAGAAGGTTTTGGTTTACACTGTTAAGTGTGAAAACATCCTCAGGCAAAAATTAATCAAGTGTTATGTCATGCTGTAAACTACAGCTAGCTCTTTGTTTGACCCAAAAAAAAAAAAAAAAAGCTTGCCACGCAGCAGTTTTTCTTGTCATACTCACTTGGTGGTTTTATTTTGGTCTTCACCCCACTTTCCTGCCCGCCTGCCCTGCAGCCGGCCGGGGGCGCAGACAGGAGCCTGCGAGCTGCAAGTTGTACCGATAGTTTTCCATCCAGCAGGAACTGAAGCTTGAAGATGGATGAGGTGTCTTAGTCCTCTTCTTCTTTTCCTCTTTTTGGGTTTTTTTTTTTTGATAAATAACAAGAGGTTTCTACTTATGATTTTCTGCCCTTGGGGCTTTATCATTAAGATTAAATAACTGTACTCTCAAGCGTGCCACTGAACAAACATCTTTTCAATTACGTGAGCAACAGATGCTTTAACAAAGGAACTATTGAAAATTCAGAAGGTTCCCCCCTCCCCAAAATTTAAAAAGTATCAGATGACGGAGGAATGCAATTGTTTACCATTACAACTGATCCTTAACTGTCCGTTCACAACGTCTGAGAACACACCGGGGGGTTTTCTATTTTTTATTTTTTTGTTTCCCTCTCCCCAAAGTTTCTTCCGGACTGGCTTTGCGGCCGCGGGGGTCGGCTGGTGGAGCCGGTGGGCGACGTTTTGGGGAGGGCCGGGCGCGCTCTCGCACTCCCTTGGGTTGACCCAATGGCGGTGACGGCCAGCCCAGGTTGAAGTCATCTACGCCGGCGGCAAAAGGCGATGGGGGGCGCTGGGCGCCGGTGGGGCAGAGGTGGACCTCCGTCCATGGCGGTGGGCGGCCCCGGGGGGG